ACAGAGAGAGAGAGAAAGAGAGAGAATGATAGATCCACATATCATAAAAATCAGGCAATTCCTTTCAAAGATATAGTTTAGTTGTTTTGGGGGGGGGGTTTGGTACAAGGGATCACACTCAGGACCTTGAGCCTGGCAGGCAGGCGCTATGCCACTGAGCTAAATCCCCAGCCTACAAAGATATAGTTTAGACAATAGCAAAATGTTTACTCAAAACAAAGACTTTATTCAGTCAATTCCTGATCAAAAAGTGAAATGTAAAAAAAAAAAAAAAGTGAAATGTAAACTTTTTTTTTTGGTGATACTGGCAATTGAATCTAGGCCTTGGCACTGAGCTATATGCCAGCCCTTTCTTTTTTCCTTTTCTTTTTTGTTCCTTTGGTTTTTTACAGTTGATCTTAGCCAAAAGGCCAAGAAGCAATTTCTTTCTTTGTTTTTTTTTTGTTTTTGTTTTGGTGGGGGTATTGGGGATTGAACTCGGGTCCTTGCGCTTGTGCAGCAGGCGACAAAACCACTGAGCTAAATCCCCCGGCCCTCTTCCTTTGTTTTTTGAGACAGGGTCTCACTAACTTCCTAATTTGTGCTCCTCCTGCCTCACCCTCCCAGAGTGCTGGGGTTACAGGCATGTGCCACCATACCCAGCTGAAATGTTAACATCTATAACAAGAACCCTATTCCAGCACTTTGAGAAGCTGAGGCAGGAGGATCCCAAGTTCAAGTCCAGTCTGGCAACTTAGTGAGACCCTGCCTTAAACTAAAAGATAAAAAAGGACTAAGATGTAGCTCAGTGTAAAGGACCTGGATTCAAATCCCCAGTACCACACTTACAAAGAAAAGTCTAGAGCAAGAGTCTGGTGTTCATGTGCCTTAGGCACGTTATCGATTCTGCATTTTTTTTCCCCTCAAAAATAAAAAGTCAGGGAAATGCTTCAAATTCTTCGTCTATAAAAGGGCTGATGGCCGGGGATTTAGCTCAGTGGTTCCACTGCCTGCCTTGCAGGCGCAAAGTCCTCAGTTCAATCTCCGGTACCAAAAAACCCCAACAACAAACAAACAAATAAAAGGGCTGAATTTCCAGATGTCCTCCTCCCAACAGGCAGTAGGAGAATCTCACCTGGGTGACTTCCCCTTAGGATCCTCCTGGCCTCAAAGCTCTGGAGTGGCAGGACCCATGGCACTTCCCTCTGCTCCAGCGGGGGTATTGATCTAGGTCTAGAAAGTCTGTATGGGAAGGCAAACAGAAGCAGTGAGTCTGAGCCCGGCCCACTTCCCTCCCTAGGTCAAGAACACAGACAACCAGTAGTGTGGATCTTGGCTCAATAAGAGGATGAGCAGGTGAAGTGCTAACATGAGGGATCCCCAAGGGGGTGAGAAAAAAGGGTGTTCTCCTTTTCACACACACACACACACACACACACACACACACACACACATACCAGGCTTGGGTGCACCATAACTCATTTCTGAAGGCACCAGGCTAAACTTAGATGGAGAGGTAATTTTATCAGAAACAAAGCTGCCATGACTTCACCCTTAGAAAGAATCAAGAAAGTTAACTATAAAGTTGAGCTTAAAAAATTTCCCATAAGGGCAACAGGTGATATAGCTATGAGAAAGAGAAAAATACAAGCCAGGTGTGGGGGCACACGCCTGTAATCCCAGCACTTGGGAGGCTGAGGCAGAGGATCTCCATGAGTTCCAGGCCAGCCTGGGCCACATAGTGAGTTCAAGGCCTGCCTGAACTATGTAATAAGACCCTGTCTCAAAAATAAATAAATAAACAGAAAAATACAAACATCTTATAAATATATGAAAAACACTTAAACTCACTTTTTTGGGGGGGTACCGGGGATCAAACTCAGGACCTTGTGCTTGCGAGGCAGGTGGCGGAACCGCTGAGCTAAATCCCCAGCCCTAAACTCACTTTTAACCAAAGAAATTAAAGATAGAACAATGATACATGTAAACAATATGGTATAGAGGAAAAGAGTGCAAACTCGAGAGTCACCCTGCCTGGGTTTGAATTCCCACCATTGACAAGTTGTGGGGCCTTAGGAGAGTTACTTAAACTCTGTGTCTCAAGGTCGTCATCAATAAAATAGGAATAATAATAATGTCTACCACAGAGGGTTGTTGTGAGAATTAAATGTAACTCCTCACCACACGTTAACTATCCTTGTTACCTAACTGAAACTCTTACCTTACAATACCCACTGTGATGGATAAAATACAAAGAAATGGACATTTGCATTTACAGCTTATGGAAGCAAATCAATTGATTCGATCTATTTGGAAGCATTTGGAAAAGTATCAAGTATCTTAGAAATGTATCCTTTGACTCAGTTTTGTAACTCTGGCAATTCTAAGGAAATGATAAAATTATATTTCAATGACACATGACTTGTACAGTAGATATGAAGTAAAACAGAATGGGGAGCCATGGGATTTATTGATTGATTGTCCTGGGGATCAAACCCAGAGCCTTGTGCATCCTAGGCAAGTGCTCTACCACTAAGCTACATCCGCAGCCCATCTACAGAATCTTCAAAAGAGCCTGGAAATATTTTTTCTTTGTTTCTATGTGACAGATAAAAACACCATGGAGGACAGTGCTCCCAATTTCCACAGGTCTTGGTTTGAACTTTCACCTTTGCAACTCCTGAGTATCAGGCTTGTTAGCTAGAAAAGGGGACGAGAAACGTAACTATCAAAGAGTTTACAGTAAGATATTAAGAAAACAATAAATATCAAAGACCACACAGTGCCATAATATGCCCATGGGAGGCAACAATTAATCTCACAGAGGCCTGGAGCCCTAAGAAACCAATGTCCACAGACAGATTCCTCAGACCCGAGACCTCAGAGATATCTCAGTCTTCAATCTAAAGGGGAAAAGCTCCCTTACCCTCTGAGAGCCCATTCTTTTAACTGAGTTGGGTGGCATCCTTGTGGAGGATTCTCTAAGCAGTGTCCAGGTGACCCACTCTTCTCTGAAGTCCCCAGCCACATGCTTGAGGGTCATCAGTTCCTAAAGCAGGAGACATCGATATACATCAATACCTCCCTAGCTATTCACCACATCTGAAAACCAGAAGGCAAGCAGTACTATACATAAACAAAAAGCCCCCTGACTACAAGAGCCCAGGGGTAGTCTGCCAACCACAGAAGGGTTGCTTCTCTTAGTTTTTTGTTTGTTTTGTTTGGTTTTCTTTGGTTTTTTGGAGACAGGGTCTTACTGTGTAGCTCAGGCTGCCCTTGAACTCACTATATAGCCCTGGCTGGCCTCAAACTCATAGCGATCCTCCTGCCTCAGCCTCCTGTGTGGTGAGATTACAGGTGTGGACCACTCTTATTCTGTTTTCATCTATACTAATCCTTTCCTGTGGCCATTTTTCTCCACTAAGAGAGGCCTGGACCTCTCAAAACCATATAGAGGACCCTGGTCTTTTGCATACATTAACTCTGAGACTAAGTGTCCAGAACAGACACAATAAAGGACAGAGTTTGCAGGTATATCTCAATTTCTGGAAAGCTTTCTATTCTCTGCTACTACCTTTTCCTTAGCAATCTAGAAAACATTGTGGGCTTAGATATACTCATTTTGGTTATGAGGACAGTAGGCTCTTCCTGACTTATAAATTTAGGGTCAATCTCAAGGGAAAAAATATGCTGAACCCCAAAAGGAATTGTGCTGGGTACCATTCTATTTCAAGGTTTGAAAGAGTCAAAAATGAGAATTAAGGGACAGGGATTTAGCTCAGTGGCACCATGCCTGCCTCGAAAGGGCAAGGTCCAGAGCTTGATCCCTGGCACCAAAAAAAAAGGAGAGAATTAAAAAGATATGGGTGAAAAAAAAATACATGGGAGCCACTGGGCATGGTGGTGCACACCTGTGATCCCAGCACTTGGGAGCCTTAACCAGGAGGATTGGCTGGATTTGGAGGCCAGCCTGGGCTACATAGTGAGTTCAAGGCCAGCCTGAGCTACACCCCTGCCCCAAATATATATATATAGATAGATATATAGATAGATAGATAGATAGATAACTTGTATAAATAAAATCTAATGGAGGAGAAACATAAAACACTTATAGACTGAAAACTATCATTATATTCATAAATTAACAGCATTATCATAAAGCAATCACATTTTGGAAGCCCCGTCAGAGTTGATTACTGGATGGATCAGCAATTCACTCAGTAATTAATACATTGTAAGGCATTAGGTGTCACAAAGAAATATGATAATGTTTCTCTCCTAAAGAGTTTTTGGTGGAGCTGGGCATGGTGTCCAATGCCTGTAATCCCAACACTCAGGAGGCTAAGGCAGGAAGACTGCCAGGAGTTTGAGGCTAGCCTGGGCTACACAGGGAGTTCAAGGCCAGCCTGAACTACACAGTGAGACTCTGTCTCAAAAACAAACAAACAAAAATTTTTTTTTTTTTTTTGGTACCGGGGATCGAACTCGGGTCCTTGCACTTGCGCGGCAGGCGGCGAAACCATTGAACTAAATCCCCGGAACCAAACAAAAATTTTTTAAAAAACAAGTTTTCAGTGGAAACAATAATAAATCAGCCAGGTAATCCACTATCACAAAGGATTCTGCATCTCAATAGAGGGAGAACTAACTTGGGAGAGGAAGTTTTAGTATTTCACATCTCTTATACCACCATTGGAAGCACCTGTTTACTACCTAAACATACACAGAACTTTCACAGAAATTTTTATGTATTAATTGACATTGCTATTGCTCATTCGTCGAGTGTTGAAGGACCCAAAAAACCGTATGAACACATTCCATCTCTCTGGTTTAAAATTTTAACAAATAAAACAATGTCTTAGGGAATAAAAATTCTAAGAGATTTGATCATAGATTTTATGTGTACATTCCTCAGAAACTCCCATGGGCAGAGCCCACTTGCTGGAAGTAGCACGATAGACAGACAAACCTAAGAATTCTTTGGGGTGCAGGTGACCCCGGAAGCCTCGAGGCGCTAGAGGTTGTGACTAGGCGCCACTGTGAGAAGCCAAGGCGCGCTCCTGGGTTTATTAATAGGACGGTGACGGCGGGGTGGGGCCCACACCCGCTCTTCCTTGCGGTGCTCCAGGCCTTCATGGGGGCGCAGCGGCCACAGGGTCACAAAGATGAGCAGCAACCCAGAGACCACCCCTGAGGAGCAGGCAGAACAGAAGGTTGCGCTCCCCACTTGCGGTACAGACCCCGCACCTCCCGCGCCGCACCCCTCCACGCCCCTGGGCTGCTGTCTCCGCCCTGGCTCACTCACCGCCCCAGGCCTGGCACAGGATGGAGCAGGAAATGAGAGTCCTCCACTGCCGAGCGGCGCCCAACCCACAGCACTAAGCCGGTCCCTCCCAGAACACGACTGTGATTTAGGGACAGAGCAGTAGGGACACAGGTGGGACTCTGGATTCGGCCACCAGAGGCCGGAAAATTCCGCCCCTAGCCCCTTCCCATTGGCTTATCTGTTACCATATTAGAAATTCTCCCCATCTATTGGGTTTCGGAGTATCAATCACCGCGGAGGTTCCTGGGACATGTAGTTAACAGTCAGATTCAGAACACACGCCGTCCTGGGATGTACAGTTCCAAGTGGTGACAAGTGTTAAACCCTACTCTCGAGCTACCAGACCGCTGCAGTGGCCTCTCCAGAACTGAAGGCCAGACCCAAATGCTGTACTTCCAGGGTGGGATCTGCAGATGTGAACCTCCTGGCCTCATCAGCCGGCAGCACCCACCACTCTGGCACTTTGCCCCTCACGGTCAGCCTCCCTCCCGCCTTACTGTGATTCCTCTCCTGATGAGTCCTCACCTCACTCTGGATGGCCAGAGCCCGAAGGGTGATCCTCTGCCTCCTGGAATCCAAGCCAATCTCAGCATAGGGAGGCTGAGGCAGGAGGGTTCCAAACCTGAGTCTTGCCTGGGGAATTTATCCAGATCCTGTCTCAAAATAAAGAAGAGAAAAGGGCTGGGATGTCATTAGTGTGAAGGCCTGGCTTCCAAATTCCATTTCTTTCAAAAGAAAGAATGGGGTGCAGTGGGGAATCTCAGGCAAAAGCTGTTAGTAGAAAAACAGACTTTCTGCTTTCTTACATTAGCATCAAACTCCCAGGCATACCACACCTCCTTTCCATTGGTTACCACACCTGTTAATAGCTAGAGGAGGTGACAAGAACGTCACATATCCTAAGAAATGTGGTACTGGTTCCAAAGTAGAGAAGTTCCGGGGTCTCATGTGAAAGCTATTGAGCACTTTGAGTAGGCTATTACCTAAAAAAAGAGAAATGAAATAAAAGCCTTTCCTCATCATGAAGAAAACACATCTGTCTATTCTTTTTATTTGGTGCAATTTTTAAAATGCCGGGCGTGGTGGCCCACACCTATAATCCTAGCCCTGAGGAGGCTGAGGAAGGAGGATCGCCATAAGTTTGAGGCCAGTCTGAGCCAGATAGTGAGACTCTGTCTCAAAAAGATAAAAAGAAAAAAATTAACTTTTTGTGGTAGACTGTTCAATGCTTAGTTAGAATCACCAACCAAGTAGCTCATTTAAAAGATCCTTCTGATGGAGTCCCTCCAGTCCTGCAGCAGATATACAAGGTGCATCCTCCAAGGGATGTTCACTGGGATCACTCTACATTTAAGATCCTCTGAGCACTGTGGGCACCCACAGGAATCACACCCTTCCCTGCATGAAGCTCACAGCTCAACGGGAAGATCAAGTAAAAGATCTAAAAATCCCAAGCAAATGTTTGTCTTTTGTTTTGTTTTTCTCATATAGACAGTGACACTGTAGCTATCTTGCTACCTAATTGTAGCCATCTGCAAGGCAACCCCAGAGCATTTGGGGGGTTTCTGTGCACTATAAGCAACTGTCTGGTTTCCGTCAGCACATGGGTTTTATATTTGGCTAAAGATGAAGCAAACAGAAGTCTCAGCAGAGCCCAGGAAGAGCTCAGAGGCCCTGGAGCCTGGGGGTGGACGGGCCTTGTTTCTCGGGACACACTCAGGACCTAGAGATGCTGGCGGGGCCTGGACCTCAGGAGTTTTTCTGATATTTTGTCTTCAGGGAGATTCTGCATCTCTCCAAATGACTGACAAAGAGAGAGAAATGGAGGTGACTGGAGAGCCCCAGATGTGGCTGGTGGCTGCCACACCTCTCCTTCCAACCTGTGCCTTCTGCCTGGTTTTCTCCCAGCATTGGCCATAGCACCATCTCCAGTGTGCAGGGAGGATGAGGGGGAGCTCAGTCCCGAGACAGAGTGGTCAGTAGAGGACAGAAGAGCGTGTGTCCCAGGTGGCCACGAAGATGAAGGACCCTGACATGTTGGGAGGGTGTGGCAGGGAGGAGAAAGTGGAGGCCAGGAGAGAAACTGTAAAAAGACTTCCAGGAGTGGGCTGGAGATTTAGCTCAGTAGTTCCGGTGCCTGCCTCGAAAGTTCAATGTCCCGAGTTTGATCCCGGTACCGAAAAAACAAAAGCTTCCAGAATGAAAGGAAAGTTTTTTTTTTTTTGACTGGTGTGTTTTTTTGTTTGTTTTTTTTTTTTGGTACAGGGATCGAACTCAGGACCTTATGCTTTCGAGGCAGGTGCCAGAACCACTGAGCTAAATCCCCAGCCCATGACCGGTGCTATTAATTATTATTATTTTTTTGGAGTCAGGGTCTTGCCTTGTTGCCCAGGCTGGCCTCAAACTCCAGTTCAGGCTGGCCTTGAACTCACTATGTAGCCCAGGCTAGCCTTAATCCTCCTGCCTCAGCCTCCTGAGTGCTGGAATGAACAGGTGTGCACCACCATGCCCTACTAAAGAAAAAAAAAATTTTTTTATACTGGGGATCGAACTCAGGACCTTTTGCTTGAAAGGCAAGCATAATGCCACTGAGCTAAATCCTTGCCCACCCCCCCCCCAATTTCTTTGAAATGGGATCCCATCAAATTGCCCAAACTGGGCTTGTTTTTTTCCTCTTTTCTTTTTTCTTCATGGAACTGGGGATTGAATTCAGGGCCTTCACACAGAGCTCTATCCCCATCCTTTTTAATTTTTTTTTTTATTTTGAGACAAATTCTTGCTAAGTCACTAAGTGACCCAGGCTAGGCTGGAATTTTCCATCCTCCTGCCTCAGCCTCCCAGAATGCTGGGATTACAGATGTGCACCACCACACTTAGCATTATCACTGAAATTTGCAAGAGAGGGTGTGTATCAGTTAGCTATAGTTTTATAACCAACGTCCTCCCCCAAAGTAGTGGTTTTAAATAACAAGTATTTACAGGGTTGGGATTCTGGACAGGCCTAGCTGGCTGTCCCCACCCCAAGGGTCTCTTGGGAGCTTACAGATGTCCTTGGGGCTGCAGGTGTCTGAGGCGTGTCCATGGCTGGAGGGTCTGGTTCCAGGCTTCTTTCAGCGGCTGTTTCCTCCCTTGGAACCTCTTTGCACAACACAGCAGCTCTTTTCCCCAGAGTGAGCCCTTGGGGTGAGAAAGGAGCCGAAGCCAAGGCTCTTGCCTGCTGTAGGAAGCAAAAGTGTTGGTGCCCGAGCTCTCGGCCACAGACCAGCCCCCTGGACACTGGGGAGGGGTTGACTTCAGGACCCCAGTGCTAGGAGGACAGGGTCACATGGGTGCCTTCCAGCCCAGGGTGTGAAGCAAGATTTTGGATATTTTCCTTGTGACATACTGCCAAGCTCCTGTGTCACCTTTATTTGTATTTATTTACATACTGGAGATTGAACTCATGCTGAGCTACATTCTTGCATCCCCCCCACACTTTTTTTTTTTTTTTTTTTTACATTTTGAGAAAGGGTCTTGCTGAGTTGCCCAGGCTGGGTTCAAGCTTTCCGTCCTCCTATCTCAGCCCCTCAGAGTGCTGGGATCACAGGTGTGTGACACCATCCCTGGCTCAGTGTCCCTCCCACCAGGGCCTCCCATGGTGTACCTAATGTCTTGGGAAGGAGGGACTCTGGAGGACCAGGTCAGCTCTCACGGGGCATTTGACCATTCAACTGACTAAGGCTTACCTCAAATTAGGCCGTTTAAAGGCCTGAGGAGACTTTATTTTTATCTGGTAAGCTGAACAACTGCCTGGAATAAGACTCTCCTGAGGAATCTTAGTTGTTATTGAGACATTCTGAATCGGGTCCCTGTGCACAGTTATACTACAGTTTTTTTGTTTTGTTTTGTTTTGAGGCAGGGTCTTGCTATGTAGTTCAGGCTGGACTCAAACTCACTGTGATCCTCCTGCCTCAGCCTCCCAACTACTGGGCTTACTCGTGTGTACCACCATACCTGGCTACAATTTTTTTGTTTGTTTGTTTTGATTTTGGTTTTCTGAGACAAGATCTTGCTATATAGTTCAAGTTGCCTTTGAACTCACTATGTAGACCAGGCTGGCCGTGAACTTCTAGCATTCTCTTGCCTCAGCCTTCCAAGGGCTGGAATTACAGACATTTTCCACCATGCCTGGCTTTAATTCTTTTTTCCTCTCTTTTCTAACTAGACATTTTCTTCTAAGGTTGAATGGCTGAAACCTAAAGTCCCACTTGCTCCAGAGGTTGAGGAAGGAAGAGCACTTGAGCCCAAGAGTTCAAGGCCAGCTTGGGCAACATAGCCAGACCCTTCTCAAAAACAAAATCTAGAACAAAAATGGAAAAAAAGAAAAAAGAAAGAAAGAAAATGAGAAATCCCCCTATTACAGATAACAGGGGTTAGCACACCTTCTTTTGGGGCAGGGAGGCAGAATAGGTTTCTAGCGGCCTCCCTCCGCCTCCTGCCAAGGTCTGAGACAACTAACTTCCTTTCCCATCTCAGAGCCCTGCGTGGCCTATGAAAGACTTCTCTGTCCACTGTGATCCCTGTGAGGAAGCCTTTGTGACTCTCACACTCCACATTTCACAAGACAGAAATTCTGTTAAAAGATGCATGTTCAAATCACGGGGAGTTCTCTCTCCTCTGACAGAAAACTTTTCTTGTCTTTATTTTTATAGCTATTGAGCAACATCTCCAGACTTCTTTCTTTTCTTTTTTTTTTTTTTGCCCTACCGGGGGATTGAACTCAGAACCTTGTGCTTGCCAGGCAGGCGCGGCGCCACTGAGCTACATCCCCGGCACTCCAGCCTTTTTTATTTTGAGACGGGCTTTTGGTTAGTTGCCCAGGCTGGCCTGGAACTTGGGATTCTCCTGCCTCAGTCAGCCTAGTAGCTGGGGTTACAGGCATGCACCACTATGCCTAGCTAAATTAATTGCTTACAAAGTAGAAATACAGGCAAATAGAGATGAGAGAGAGAGCCTACTATCCAGGAAAACAAGAAAAAACAAAAACAAAAAACCTGACTATTGATACTTTGCGACACACCCTTCCTGTGATACAAGTCAGATCTCCCTGGAGAGAAGACGCCTTCGTCTCTCGCAGATGTCCTGTGTTTGCTGGCATCTGGTGTTTTCCCTTTTATTCTTCAGAGAAGAAGAGAGGAGGCTTTGGGTGCAGAGGACGGGAGGGGAGGACAAACTGCTTTATTCTCCCACCTGGCAGCGGAGGGACACCGCGAGCAGCAGCACGTGGTGAGGCCGGAGGGAGCGCGTCCCCTCCCAGCCTGTCGCCTGGTGGTGGCGCTGCAGCCGTAAGGAGGGCGGCTGCAGGGGAGGACTCGAGAGGAAGAGGCCGGAGGTGTGAATAAAGCCGCGTCATTCCCCTCCAAAAGGCAAGGATTTTCCAGGTGAGGTTAGGAAAAGACTGAGGTCCTGCACTCAGAGAGAGGGCATCGCTCAAGCTACTTCGCAAACTTTTTTTGTGTGTGTGTGACAGGGTCTTGCTATGTAGTCCAGGCTGGCCTTGAACTCGACTGTGTAGCCCAGGCTGGCCTCCAACTCGTGGTGATCCTCCTGCCTCAGCCTTCCAAGCGCTGGGATTACAGGTGTGCGCCACCACATCTGACTTCTCATACTTTAATATGTACACCAATCACCCAGGAAGCTTGCCTTTAAAAACCAAACAAACTTGAAACTTATTTTTATTACCTTTTTAAAAATTGTGGGTCCAGAGATATAGCTCAGTGGCGCCGTGCCTGTTTGGCAAGTGCAAGGTCCTGAGTTTGATCCCCAGTACTGGAAAAAAAAAATTATGCTTCTGATGGAACACACCATAGGCAAGTGCTGAACCCCGATCGTTTTTAGTTTTAATTTTAACAATGGCATTATATTTACAGAGAACCTTTTACATTGTCCTTACATGAATAACAAAATAAACCCACAGGATATTTTGGGGTGCCTCCACTCAAGGAGCAGGAGAAACCAGTGGGCCTTTCTTTAGACTATGATGATTTAAGCATCATCTTCTTCTACTCTGTGGAAACGAAAGGAAGCAATCTCTTATTTGTCAAAGAGCACAAGCAATTGTCTGTGTTGGTTGGAATTTTGTTTTTGAAAAAAATTCACATAATTTTTAAATTTTGGGGGGACTGGGGGTGTATCTCACTGGTAGAGCACTTGCCTAGCTGCACAAGACCCTAGGTTCCACCCCTAAAATGCAAAAAAAAAAAAAAAGTTCAGATTTTTGAAGTGTACAATTTAGTGGTTTTTAGTTTATTCACAATGTTCTGCCACCATCAACACCAGAACCTTTGCATCCCCCCTACCAATCCCCTCTTCCCAGCCAGTGCCTGACACTTCTTTCTGTCAGTATGGGTTTGTCTCTCCTGTGCATTTCATGTAAACACAATAGGAATGAAGCCTTTGTATCTGGCTCTCATTGAACCACAATATTTTCAAGGTTTATCCATGTCATAGCTTTTATCCATATCATTCCTTTTTATGGCTGAATAATAGTCCATTGGATGAGTAGACCATAATTTATGATCAGTTGATGTGGGAGCTTACATTTTAAATACATATTCTGGAAGCCAGGAGTAAATTCAAGGCCATCCTGAACTATACAGTGAGACCCTGTCTCAAAAAACAAAAACAAAAATAAAATACATATTCTGGCTTAGCAGGTTTAAGATGAGATCTAAGATTCCACATTCCTAACAAACTCCCAAGAGTTGCCCAGTACTGCTGGTTCGAGAGCCACACACTGAGTAGTGCAGATTATTATTAAGCCTACTTTTTAGACTTAGTGATCTCAGATATAAAAGTAGACATGAACCTATGACATACTGATTAAACACACTTATACATATGCACAGTTAAATAAGAGTGGAAAATTGGTGTGGTGGTACATATCTGTGATCCCAGCACTCTGGGAGGCAGAACAGGAAGATTATAAGTTCAAGCCTAGCCTGGGCAATTTGTAAGACTCTATCTCAAAATAAAAACAACAAAGCTGGAAATTGTGGCGCACACCTGTAATCCCAGCACTTGAGAGGCAGGAGGATCCATGCGAGTTTGAGGCCTTCTAGGGCTACATAGTGAGAGGGCTGGGGATTTAGCTCAGTGGTTCCACCTCCTGCCTCACAGGCACAAGGTCCTAAGTTTGATCCCCAGTACCAAAAACCCCCCAAAAAACAAAAAAAAACCCAAGAAAGTAAGTGGGGCTAGGCATGCAGAGCTAGTGTGAAGACCTTGGGCTCAATCCCAGTACACCAAAAACAATTTATAAATAAATAAATAAACTAAGAGTAGAGGCAGGCTGCTAATGTTATTTAGTGCCTTGCTTCTTAACCGTATCCAGGAACATAATGACTTAGGCAAATAAGTGCATGAAAGGTTCACAGCCCAACCAGTCTATACCCAGCCAGGCTCCGAGTCCCAGCCTGCTCTGCAAAGTGCTTCATTGTACCATTTTGTCAGGGCTAATGAGGTACAGGGTTAGTCTTCAGCACGGAGTTCTGCTGTAATCCAAGCCACTGTTCACCATGAACACATGAAGGAACTTTTGTTTCACAGCCTGGACTTGACCTTAGCAAACTTTTTTTTTTCTTTTTTTGAGATAAGATCTCACTATGTAGCCCAGGCTGGCCTTGAATTCTGAGATTCACCTGCCTCAGCCTGCTGAGTGCTGGGATTACAGGTGTGCACCACCATGGCTGACATTATCAAGCATTTTTAAGCACTAGTACATGCACACATATTAATGGTAATGAATGTTCATTATAGACAATGGAAAAATGAGAGCCCTGATTTATGAAACTTTCCAGTCGCTCTTCCTTGTTTCGGTCTTCCTGTTAGAGATGGGGAGTGCCTCTTTCAAGAGAACATTTCCAGGCCAAAGGTATCCAGAAACCTGTTGCTACACATCAGCATAGATGAAGTATTACATCACTCCCTCTAGAATATCCCTTTTGGAACCTCTAAGAAAGGGAACAAAACTGCTACTTAAACTCTGGCATTCTGTCGCTTATGAGATGGATCCTGATTTCAGTGATGTTCAAAGGTAATAAAATGTGCCAGACATGGTGACACACATCTGTCTGCCTGTCCTCCCAGCACACAGGAGGTTGAGGCAGGAGGATCGCCTGAGTTCAAGCCCAGCCTAGGCTACATAGTGAGTTCAAAGTCAGCCAGAACTAC